AGCTGTCTGCAAGGAATATAACCCTTCCATTCCCAACTATCTAGTCAGAGATGAAGAAGCTTCCTGGATGAGAAGCAAAACGTCTTCAAAGAAAAACAAGAAAGTCCAGTTGCCTCTTGAAAAAGCACCTTTGGGACAAGAAAGAAAGAAGGCTTGAATCCTCAGGACAGTACAGGTTGTGGATGTCCCATCTCTCTTAGAGATTAAGATTAGGGGAAGGTCATTAAGTAAGGTACCCTTTGTAAGTTAGGTAGTAGAAAATACCAGGCAACTGCACTAAGAGACACTCGGTAGTATTCTGAGTAACGAGGATTGACACCAATTGTTGACCCTATTAGCTCATCTGTGCTGCTATAATAGCCTTTTGGTATATTAAGAACTGAATATTCTTAATATTCATATATAGCATTTCTTTACATTTTCTTGCCCTTAGATTCCCTTGAGTCTCTCTCACACACACATAAATGCAACACATGGGGAGACATTGTTTTAGCAACATGAGTGAAAGCATCTACTCTTACCGTTGGTACTCAGGCAACCTCACCTCATTGAGATTTAGTTTGTCCCTATGTAGCTGTTAGTTTATCTTGAATTTAATATAATAAATATTGTCGATAAATGTGCACTCTCAAATCTAGTTGTACATCCAGTTCTACCACAGATTAACAGAGATAGTTTCTAAGCTCTAGTATTGAAACCTATACAAACATTTGGTTGCATATTTGTCCCCATGACAATTATTTTCTATCTCTGTTATTTAAAGTACAGTATGGAGAAGTATTAAAAGGAGAAGGAATCGATGCCCTGCTTCTGTTTGTTTTAAAAGAGGCAAGAGGTTTAAGAAGAAATGATGGGCAGAGGCACAAAAAGGGGGAAATAGGAAACCAAATACCCTCCCTCCCTCCCTTCCTAATTTGCTTTGTCTTTTTGTTTCTGTTTAACAAATTAATTAATTAAACAAATATATATCCCTCCCAATTTACAACTCTAGGCAACTTACAACGTTTAAGACTCCACCACATAAAAACTCAACCCCAACCCACCCATGCCAGCAACAACACAAATCAACCGCTTGATTGGTTCTTTCTCCATTCGTGCTCCTCAGGCCTGCTGACAAAACCATTTTTAGATCTTTTGGAAAAGCAGTACGATGGGGGCCAACAGTAATTTGTGAATACTGAAGTCTTGGCATTAAGGCAAAAGGCAAATTGCCTTCAGCTGAAATAATGAAAGATTGGATTTACCACTTAGTGATCCTAGTGTATCTTTTGGTTGTCCTTCGGACGAGAGATGTGTTCATTTTTATTGGCCTAGATTATATTAGTACAAGAGGACAGTGAACAGAGAGTAAACATGTAATTAATTCAGAGCACGAAAATGAATTCTGATATCATGAACTCTTTATTTTAGAAATCCAGGCAGCATGACATTAACCAGAATAGAGCCATGGTGGCGCAGTGGTTAGAATGCAGTACTGCAGGGTACTTCTGCTGATTGCTGACTGCCAGCAGTTTGGCAGTTTGAGTCTCACTAACTCAAGGTTGACTCAACCTTCCATCCTTTCGAGGTTGGTAAAATGAGGACCCATGAGGATTGTTGGGGCAATATGCTGACTCTGTAAACTGCTTAGAGAGGGCTGTAAAGTACTATAAAGCAGTATAGAAGTCTAAGTGCTATTGCTACATGGATTTTTTAAAAACTTTAAAAATTCAAAAATCTGCTCAGTGTGAAGCTTATTAGTTTGCCTTATCTCCCCCATCTCCCTCATTTAGGCTACCCTACCCTCTGAGGGTCAGCTGAGGTTGGAGGGAGCAGTGGGAGTAGGCAGTGTAGTGTACGTGGTCAAAAGAGCAGAGATAAGGGGGCATAGGCAGAACAGTATAAGCAGGGGTGAACGTGACAGGACAGAGTGTGAAATCCTGGCCTAACGACCGCAAATGTAACTTCCAGAACGGCCATCTTTAAGCAGTACAGTCACGTGATATCTTGCCTAATGTCTGCATAGTTTAGCGTCAGAAATTCCAGTCCAAATTAGTATGGGTAAGCAAGGATATCTATAACCTGGGAACATAGCCTCTCTAGCTGCTTCTGAAAACTTACTCCGGAAAAGATGCTGATGATATAACATGCTAAATAAATGAGTTAAATGAGTAGCTACAAAAACATTTCAACCCCTTAAAAGCTCTCCTAGAAAGAAAAGGAGGAATGAAACACAATTGTGAGTTTAATCAACAGTAATAGATGTAGGTAACAGAGTTGTGAATGCTGAAGGTGACAAAGCTTTGTTTGGGAATTGTAGAAGTATTCTTGCAATTTTTGTAGATAATTTGTGCAGCTGAGGGTGGGGCATTATTTTTATCTCTTCCTCCCCATACATTTTTTTCTGACTTCCTGACATCACCTCTTGTTTCTTGTAATTTTATACTTAGTAGACTGATGTTAGGAAGTGAGCTTTTAAAGCAACATAATGACAAATATATGCAAATGCATTTGTCATGGAGAAATGATGACAAGCTGTTATTATGCTCCCATTAGACTTCCCGGAGGGATGAACTTCAGCTTTTTTTTTTTTACTTTCCTTGCTGGTCAAAGCAGCTCTTGAAGAGATTCTCTTCTGCCGGTGCCTTTAATAATCTTCCACTTTTGCCCCTCAAAAGCTTGGGAAGGGTGCATCGGCTGGCTCAACTCTCCAGTCACAAGCATCTAAACAGTGCTCAAGCCTAGGTTGTCGAACGCTGGGTGTGAAACTGCATGCTTAATGAACACAGGGGGCAAGGATTGATTATGCCTTGGACTTGGAAGCCGCAGCTGCCTGTGAAACAGTGTTACCTCTAAGCTCGCTATGGAAAATATGAAGGAATGTTGAAGAAGCTTATTTGCAAAAGGATATGTTCCTGTAAGCAATTCTCTCTCTCTCTTTCTGTCTCTGTGTGTGTGTGTGAAATTTTCCCCCTTCAGTGAGGAATAAAAAAAGATCATTAAGCATTTTTAAAAATTTGCTTAACTGTTAATAGGGACAGACAAAGGCCTCTTTAAACAAGGCATGTGTCTATGTAAAGCTAGACGATCGTTCATAAATGAGCTTTGTAGAAACAGAAGGAACAGCAGTGATGGATGGATAATGGCTAAATATAGGGAACTATGTACTGTCTGGTTTAAAGTCCATTGAAATCAGTAGAAGGCAAAGCAGATTTGGATATAGCTTTATGAAATGTGTTGCTTGACTTGCAAACCTCACCCGTCTATGTGAACTATTATGTAGCACTCAGCTGTCATAAGGGGTGGATTTTATTCTGACTTTATAGTATAGGTCTGACTGTTAGATTCCCATTTCCTGAAGTCCATGTTCAGATTTTTAACCTGTTCTTTGTTTCTCTTTCTGCTCTCAAAAACATGTGCTCTCAAAAACCTGATGTCTGGAAGCTTAGATTGTTAACAGTGAAAATTAAGTGAGGAAATGTAATGTTATTCAAACTGTTACTTAGATTGATTTTTTTAAAAAAACATTATCACGGATGTTTAAATGTCTTTTTAAACTCTGTGAAATTCTGGCTGTTTATATCTCATCTTTAAAGAGCAATTAGTTTTACTGGAATATTGTTACAAGAATTTTTTTTTCTTTGAATCATTATGAAAAACAAAATGTGCTTTTCAAAAGAAACTACTGAAAATCATACTTTCTTTAGTTAACACTTCAGTATAGGAAGCCACACCCCTGAGGAGTATATGAGAGAGAACAACCTCCTGTTCATCTGTTTATGCTATTTATTTTACTTTTGATCTGCTCAGCAACAAGGTTTTGAACTAATTAATTCCATTAATTAATGCTTTGGATTAAACTCTTTTGCTTTGATAAAGACCTAGTTTGTACAGTAATTGAACGTTTCATTTTGCTTGTAAAATTTTATCATGGTCCTAAAGATAAGAAGATACATCTTTTCCACCAGTGCCGATAACAAAATTAGACTAAGACGAGCGGATAGCTTTATTGAAGCTCTAAAGGTATTAGTCTGCACCCTTTTATGAGCGCATGGTTCAGTGATTTCATTGCTGATGATTTGCATTGAAATACAGTCTGCAGAGCATGGATCTTCTTATTACTAATAGTTCATAGAGTCACTTAAAAAAGATCAGAGGGTGTGGTATTATATCTAGGCCTCTATCTCCCACATGTTTCACTCATGTTAGAAAGGAGATGTGTGTTGAATACGTTGTTGACTAGAAATAGACTGAAACAAAGGCATTTGGTATGGCATCACTGTCAGCAATAAATTTTAAAATTTGATGGATTTGTTGGGTATCACACAGATATTTATTCCCAGTGGTCAGACTCCAAAGAACTGGGAAATTAGTTTTGTGAACCCTGTAGCCTTACGCTTTTGACACCGGGGAGCCTTCCAAACTAGGTTGTAATATGATTGTGAGAGTTAGCCATCAGAATAAAAATATTCCACAAAGGGCCCTCATTTGAGTATAAACATCTACATGGAGCTCAGCCCATATTTATAAATCTTACTTTTATAACAGAGGCATATCCAGAGAAGTAGTATTCAGTATTAGTATAAAACATTCATCAAATAGATGTTTTTTTTTAAAAAAAAATCAAAACATAGAAATACTACAATGCATAATAGAAATCCACAATTGTTTAGTTTGAAAAAGGAAAATTACCAAACTAATTTGGAAATGTAGATAAGGAACAGTGGTATGAAGGTTGTTATGCGTTACATTTATAATAGATACATGGACTTAACTCAGTTTTTATATAGTTATCTTCTGAAGCCCCCTGTCTTCCAATGGTTTTAGAAAGCAATATAATGTATGTTTAGTTTTAAGTGACAGGGTCCACGTAGGCATATATCTATGCTCATGTTACTGAATAACAGGTTGTGTCCTGCTGTAATATATGTATTTCATTTGTTCACAGTTACAGAGCAAAATTGCTTCAAAATGGGCAATGGTCATAAGTAATTGAATTTTATGTTGTGTTTCCTTTGTAGATAAACATTTTGATGATGACGACTCGGTGGATGGGAACCGTCCATCCTCAGCCAGTTCCTCAACCTCTTCAAAGGCTCCGTCATTATCTCGAAAAAGTGGGACGGGCACTGCTCGAAGAGTAGGAGCAGTAGCTTTAGTCGCAAAAACTCCAGGTAGGTCAAGCTCTTCTATACACTTAAACATTACTTCTTTCATTCTTTTTTTGCCTTTCCATTATTTTATGCATGATTGGAACAATAGAACATAACACCTCCCTCAGTGCACCTGTTCGTTGATTTGAGGAACTACTAAAAGGTTTATGTAAAATATTTGAGATTGTGTCATGTCAACAAGCATATTATCAAATATGTTTATCGTAACTAGAGGTGGTCCTTGTTTAGCAACTACCTCATTTAGTGATCATTCACTGTTACCACAGCAAGAAACTTTGTAATCAGTCCTCTCATTTAGGATCCTTGTTGCTCTGTAAACATTGGAAAGCGGAAGTAAGATCGTAAGCACGGTCGTAGTTTTCTTAATGACCAGTTCACCTAACAACCAGGTTGCTGATCCCAATTGTGATCACTAAACAAGCACTACCTTTACTTCACTTAATGGCTTTGCTTAAAATGTTCAAAGACAACTTTCTGACATTTTAATAGGACAAATTCTTGAGTTCAGATCTTTATTCAGATGCCATTTTCTCTGGCTCTTCTAAAGCCAGTTTGTTTTTCAAATATTGAGCCTCAGTTAATGGAAATGGAATGCATTAAACCCAACGATGGAGAACTATCTAATAAATATACAGATAGTCCTTGACTTACAACCACATTTAAGCCCAAAATTTACATTGCTAAGTGAGACATTGGTTAAGTGACTTTTGCCCCATTTTACTACTTTTCTTGCCGCAGTTGTTAAGTCAGTCATTGCAGTTTTGTTAGTAACATGGTTGTTAAGTGAATCTAGCTTCCCCATTAACTTTGCTTGACAGAAAGTCAGAAAAGCCGATCACATGATCCTGGGATACGACAATTGTCATCAATGTGGGACTGTTGCCAAGCGTCTGAACTTTGAACATATGACTATGAGGATGCTGCAATGGTCGTATGAAAAATGGTCATAAGCCACTTTTTTTCAGGGCTGTTATAACTTCGAACAGTCACTAAATGAACTGTTGTAAATTGAGGACAACCTGTACTTTACAGTAGTGCTTTCAGAAAACTTTCAGAAATAGAGTCCAATCTAATTAATGCTTTAAACTGCCTGATTCATTCTTCTAGCCCAGTCAAATGTATCATATTTACATTAATTATACATGAATGCATACACAATGTACTGTATATACATATACATTAATACACACGTTACTTATAATTAAATGATTTATAGGAAAAAATATATATAATTTTTTCTAAACTTCACCATTTTAGAAAAAACAAATCCCATCTCTTTCAGGCAATATTTTGTCTTCTTTGATTGTTTCAGTTTTTTCCTTAAGAAAGTCTTTTTTTGAAGACATTGTGTGCTTTGCCATTGCTTTTCTTTGCTCTTACTACAATAAGACCTATTTTACATACAGTTTATATGAATTTCTTTCATCGCTGTTATTCTTGCCTCCCTCTTGCATTTTCTAGCAACTAAAGAAGGAGCTGGTGCCGTGGATGAGGAGGATTTCATTAAAGCTTTTGAAGATGTCCCAACCGTTCAGGTAAATGGTTCATGGTGTGGTTAGAAATAAAACACACTAGAACATCGGGGTGGTGGTAGAATGCATTTTTTTAAAGAAAGACATTATTTGGAACTGCTGCTTGCATCTCAGACAAGGACAAAGACAAGATAGTCCAGTTGATTGGATTGGCAAATCATTTCTTTTTCAATATTGCCACTGAGACACCAGATTAGTTTGAGACTGTAAAGCAGAACATGCCATGAGAAGTTTGGTAAACTAACTAACAGAATGGAATGGTGAAGAAACTTGTATAATTGGGAACACTCTTAAATCTCAATCAGTCTTAAGTCATGAATGATATTAACAGTAACTATCGTTTCACAAGAGGCATGAAAGACACAGAATATAACATTGAGGTATGTTTTCTTTTGTTAATGGAAGCTGGTTGGTCTAGTGGAGACATCCCTAAGTAGAAAATGGGGAGTTGTTTTTCTTGGATCCCTTCTTTTCTTTGTAATTCCATCCTATCTCTATCTGCACTAGAGGAGTTCCCTTTGGACCACATGAAAGGTAAACAGGATGCTGCAGTAAAAAACGGACAGTGTATTTTTTTATTTAAAACATTTATAGAGACGCCCGTTGTTCAACCAATTCTGGGTGGTTCCCAATCAAACAACAAAAGAAACATAAAATTGCATTTAAAACTATAAAGCCAAACCTTTTAAAATATTTAAAACAATAAAAACCTGACATTGTTAGATAAAAGAAGTTCCCATTAATAGAAGTGCATAGTTGGATACAATTCATGTGTTTAAAGCATACTGGGCAAAATTAGAGAAAATTATGCGACTTACTTTTATATTTTTTCTGGGTAATGTGGAATTAGAATATTTGGTTTGGTGTATATATAACAGTAGATTAGATCAGGTGATAGTGACTACACTGCTTTCAGGAAAGATCACAGTGGAGTTCCGCTCTGTTTTACCATCTCAGGGGACAAGTTGGTCTACTTGTTCTGAGTTTAAAAATTAGGAATTGTCCTACCAAGCTGCCATGTTGTATTATTCCCTGTGACTACAACAATTAGGTTTTTAGTAACTTCTATAAATTTGAGTTTTTAATATTTTACATGATATTTACTAATTTATTTTATTTGTTAAATTGTTTTATCAGATGGCAAATTTTAGATTATATCTCTACTTTGCTACTTGGGGTGGGGGGTGGGGTTGGTTCAACATTTGGTTGGTTAAACGTTTGGTTTTTTTTTTTTAAAAAAGATGCCTGGTAAAATGTCATCTGCACCTCTATAACTGTCTGGTTTGGTTCTCCAACTCAACAAGACAGACACAGCCTTCAGAGAGTAATTAGGACTGCAGAAAAAATAATTACTACCAATCTGTCTTCCATTGAGGACCGGTATACTGCATGAGTCAAAAAGAGGGCTGTGAAAATATTTACAGACTCCTCACATCCTGGACATAAATTGTTTCAACTCCTACCCTCAAAACGGCGCTATAGAGCACTGCACATCAGAACAAGTAGACACACGGACAGTTTTTCCCCGAATGCCATCACTCTGCTAAACAAATAATTCCCTCAACACTGTCAAATTATTTACTAAGTCTGCATTACTATTACCATTACTATTAATCCTCCCATTCTTCCTTTCACCCATCTCCTCCCACTTATGACTGTATGACTGTACCCTTGTTGCTTGTATCCTAACAATTTTTATTGACTGTTTCCTAGTATGATTTGATTGCTTATTGTACCCTTTGACTATCATTAAGCGTTGTACCTTATGATTCTTGACAAATGTATCTTTCTTTTATGTACACTGAAAGCATTTGCACCAAGACAAATTCCTTGTGTGTCCAATCACACTTGGCCAATAAAGCTATTCTATTCTATTCTATTCTATTCTCCCTGCTTTTCTATGTTATAGTGTATTGCTAACACATGTATCTAATTCTTTCCTGTTAATTAGTATAATAATAATCTGTTTTAATACTTGAAATGAAATGTTGATTAATAAAAATTCAGATATATCCCTGGTAATCAAAAATATGTTTACCTTCAAGTAGAATGGAAGACCAAATTTTTTAATGAAATAACAGAGGGGGGAAAAGAAATGCATGCATTTGATATCCTGAATTTAAATTCATAAATTTCTTCCAATTTATGGAAAATGATTTGTCTTCGCAAACCAGGAGTCCCTCTTTTTAGTAGTTTTTTGCTCTTCTCATGCATTTTTTCTGAACAATCCTACTAACCATCTAATACATATTTGGAGGTGTACCGAAGATTTGTGATGAGGCAGGGATAATTTCTTGTAGTTCAGTTAATTCTTCTAGCTTAGTAAAATAGTTTTTATGTTTTCTTTACAGATTTATTCTAGCCGAGACTTTGAAGAATCCATAAACAAAATCAGAGAAATCCTGTCTGATGATAAACATGATTGGGAACAGAGAGTAGCTGCAGTAAGCATTTGATTCTAGATGAATTCCTTATGTAGTATAACCTGGTTGGCATGAGATTATGCATTTTATGATATGGACAATCCCTACTATGCCTGTATATTTCTGCAATTTGGAAGTTTCTTATGTTCAAGATATCCTGAAAATTCTCATTTCCTGTTGAAAATATAAATATAACCAAGCAAGAATTGTGAATGCTTAATTTTCAGTTCTACAGAGGCAAGTTTGAATAAGAGCACATTCTCCATGGTAGGCCTCATGTTATAAGAAGTTGCCCTTCTCTTTAAGTGTGCTTCAAAATTTGTTAAATCAACCTAGAACTCAATTTCATTTTTTAACATTGTTTTCAAAATATATGTTAGGGTTTTAATATGGCTTGGATTTAAGCTTACCACTGTACCCTATCTGGAGGCTTAGCTGAAATGGAAAATATAAATAATAACAATTTTTATCACATTGACAGATCTGCACTCTGCAGATGATAACTGATAAATAGTTAATTTTGCTTCCTAAATTTTTGTTCAACAGTTGAAAAAAATCCGCTCTTTATTATTGGCTGGAGCTGCTGAGTATGATACCTTCTTTCAACATCTGCGTTTGCTTGATGGAGCCTTTAAATTATCTGCTAAAGACTTGAGGTCCCAGGTAGTGCGAGAAGCATGTATCACATTAGGGTAAGGAGCACAATCTATGTATTCTACGTTGTGTTAATTATTGTCAGGGTGAAACTGCAGCATGTTTTCCTCTGATCAACCTCTTCTGAGGTAGAAGAGTGAAAAAACGTTTTGTTGAATAGCTAAAGCAGGGCTGTCAAACTCGTCTGCAGGCCAGACGCGTACTTGTGAACATTCAAGGGATGGGTTGGATTGGGTCTTCTGACTCTCATGAAGTAGTCTCTGAATCCTTCATCCACAATCCTATGTGCTCTCTCATATTCCTGGGGATAGCCTCTCACTGCCACCAGTCAATTTGTCCTAGATAAATTATTTATGTCCTGGATTACTTTGAGGGAGGAGACAAATGGCAATTTTCTTGCCTTTTCTTCAGTAGCTGATCTCCAACCCACATTTCAAAGGTGGAGGCACATTTTTCTTACCTGCCACAGTCAACCCTGGGAAAAGAATTAGTAAAGAAATAACAAAGATAGAAAACCCAGTATTGTAGAACAAATACTTGCGAATTCAAGATCAATGCAGGAAGTTGTTACCAAGAACTTCTTATTTTCAGTGTAAACCATGTCTTTATATCATTTTCATTTCTGGACAACTTGGCATTTCTCTGTCTGCTTATCTTAATAAGCATGAAACTGAAAAAAGTAACAGAAAGAATTGTTTGGTCATATATCCCTAATTGGTAACTCTTGAATATTTTAGTAGTGGAAAAGCTGTTTCCCTGCCTCAGCGAAGTAGTAGAATTGTTGGGAGAGAGAAATCCATCTTTGCTGTTCTTAAATATGATTAGTTTATGAATATATTTACAAGTAAGCATGCCAGTGACTCCAGCTTCATGTCAGCTATGTCCTTTTGCTACAATAATTGTCTACCCTGATATTGATAGTGTGAATAACTTGTACTGTACCACATCTGTGAAAAAGGACTTAATAATTATGCAAGTGAAGCTGCCTGCTTTCTTGGCCCCTGTATATATCTACTATTCTTGTTTTTCCATTATGAGATATAAGATTGTAGTTGCTCATTAATTATTTTCAGCAGTTTTTATTTGTGAATGTTATTTTGGTTATTAAAGAAAAACCTATGGATACATACATACAATGTGATAACTTGCATTTCTATAGAAATAGGAAGATGAAAAACAAATTAACCACAAGTATCTTCAGAAACACCAAACATTCATTGTTTATGGAAACTTCAAAAAATTTCATCAGTACTGGTATTTCCATAACCATTGTTTCAATAATTCAATGGTAGTTTCTGTCTTAAATGTTCCAAAGCATTCCTTAAATCTTATTTTATAGGCTTGAATACTTTGTCTAAGTTGAATCAGAGTTTAGGGTGAAAGTTCAGGTATTTAATTTGCCCTGGCACTTTCATTCTGTACTGCAGTTAGCTGGAAGGACTGATTTTAAGCAAAGGGCAAGAGAGCTTGTTAATAGCAGCTCTAAAATGACAGAGAGGGCGAGGTGGAAAGCAGAAGAGAAGGTCTGACCAACTGAAAGCAGTTTAATAGTCTGTACCTTTTAGCCTTTCCCTATTAGCTTCACAGTGATCTGCTCCAGACTGATTCCTTGTAAAAACTGACCATCATATCATGTATCGGAAAGAAAACTGAGAATACTTTGTTAGCGCAATGTAATGTATTGTTAATTTATAGGCAGTGAATACTATAGCCTTGCCTAACTGCATCTTGGCCTATGCTGTTCTTTTATTATTGTGATCTATTTTCTTGTATTTCAGACATTTGTCATTGGTATTGGGTAACAAGTTTGACCATGGGGCAGAAGCCATCATGCCAACAATCTTTAATCTCATTCCCAACAGTGCCAAAATCATGGCCACTTCTGGCGTAGTAGCTGTGAGATTAATCATTCGAGTGAGTATTGCTCAATGCAGATACAAATTGTTCTCTCATGTACTCCTGATGAGAGAAGCAGAGGGATATAATAAACATGAAAATCAGTCCAATTAGTAGGCTCTTGCACAGAATCTTAAATAGGCCTGGTAGTCAGCATGACTTACTGTTTGCCTTGCATCTGTGTTTGTGTAAACATTACCAGACTGGAAATTCAAAAAGCTGAAATTAAATTGTGTTCTCTGGACTATTTTCATTATAGCCTGACAGTGATATATTCTACATTTGTTACATGTTAAATACCAATGAAGAGCTGAAGTTTTAATTGAAAGCCTGCCTTGGCATTAAAAACAGACCTTCATTTTTGCATTCAGATGTTATAATTGAGGTTTGACTTACCATTGCTGCTTTTTAATTTAACATTACTTGATGTGAAGGAAAAGCAAATCTGTGTTCTGTTCCAAGGAAACAGTATTAAAAGGCCATTAGGCCTTACCTGGAAATCAGAGTATGTGAAAATTCTTCTGATTTTTTCCATTGATCTAGTAGAATGCTAGTATTGTTTTACTAGCCAAACTGCACTGTTCTTTCAGTGGTGTGCCGAGAGAAAATCTAAAAGTAGATTTGATCGATTTAGCTGATATATAATTGCTTCAATTTTTTAAAATATATGCCTTTAATCATTATATTCAAGTAAGTATTTCTTTAATATCTAGTAACTTCATTTTTACCACATTCAAAATCACAATTTGAGGTACACTGGTAGGATGTCTGTAAACTGCAGATTTTGGGGTCCACATAGAGACCCAGTACCCTACATTTATTCATTGTTTAATTGATCTCATTAGCAGTAATAATCAACAAAGAGAATTAAGCATAAAGTGTGTTTATGGTAAGTCCAAAATTTTGGAGATGCAAAATTAAAAAACATAGAGATGGGCTTATTTATAAATTATTGGTAAAGTGTGATACAGAAAGTGAGCAAGACTGCATGATTTAGTAGCCACAGAATTTAAATAGAACAATCAATGTGCAAGAATCAAAATATCAATGGAAGAAAAATACAAATCATGCATTTTATACTTAGAAAATGTAGCATAAGATATTGTACTGATGTTTTATTCCTGCAGTACTGATTACTAAAATAGAAAATTGGTAAATTAAAATTAGGAACATTAAAAATTGTTGGAAATTCAGGAAGTAGGTTGATTATTTTTTCATATTTGGTGATTGTGTTATAAATTCCAACTCTGTAAAGTAATTTGTAACAGCATGAAATACATTTTAAAGGATCTTTCTCTTGTCATCCTGCAGTTTTTAATTCAATATTATCAAGCCTTATATTTCCATAAAATATGCTTGAATTAGCTTTGTACATGGTAAACGCTGCAATAATTTTTTATGCTATTCACTGGAAATTATATGGAAGTACGCTTTGATATCAGAATTAACTTCAGATTTGAAAAAAAATAACAAAATGTAGAAGCCATGAAAACAGAACTATATTCCAAGACCATTTGTTTCTTTATATTTTTAATTTGAAGTTTGTACTCCTATCAATATAGCAGGCATGTTAAAAAATACATTGATTTGCTTGTTTTGAAAAATGAGCCTTGCTAGCCATGGAAAAGAGTGATAAGACCAGCTTTGATATTACAGATCTTTATGAACCTGCTTGAAGCCATGTTCAGTATTTTCAATTTGATAATCAATTTGTTTAAGATATTGCTTTTTACATTTTATTTTTTTCTGTTCCCTAGCATACGCACATCCCTAGACTAATTCCCATCATCACCAGTAACTGTATCTCCAAATCAGTTGCAGTTAGAAGGTGAGTTATGCCGATTGGCGTCTATTGTCTTGCTTTATAACTTACTTAAACAATTATATCCTTTTATGGAATAATTAATTATGAAAAACAGCCTGGTTTTAAGAATATCTAGTTATAAGAATTTTACTTGTTTCCCTTCTTTTCTTTTCTTTTATTTTTTTGAGGGCTTTAGGGTTATTGATAGAAAGATGGCTATTGTTAATTCGTTTTTGAGCTTTGAAATCATCCTGGTTCTGACCAGCAGGGTCAGACGTGGTGTAAGAGGGCCTTTTTGTAATCTCCATTTAGTGAAGAATCCTCAAAACTCCTGTCTTTGTCATTACTGAGCTGGCCAATGCAAATATTGGCAGCCGTTCCTAATGACTAAAAACTGTCAGTATCAATCTTTTTTGTTTCCTGTACTCTTGCAGATTTAAGCAGACCATACAGGTAATTCTCCTGTGAAATCCTCAGTAGTATTGATCCACACATATTTAAATTAACGTCTCTTCTCCCCCGATGGAGGTAGAAAACCATTTTCAGATCAAATCATTTGGGAATATCTCTCCCCTCCCCCCCTTTTTTTGTTTGATCTCCTTTAAGTCAGTTTGGACTCAAATCAGCCCCTGCTGTTTTCTTGGCAACAGTTTTGGTTTGCCCTTGCCTTCTTCCTAGGGTTGAAAGAGGGCAACTGGCCCAGCTGGTTTTGTACATCAGGTAGGACTAGGCCTCACCATCTCCTGCTTTTTAGCCTGGTGCTTTAATCATGCCACCAAACTGACTCTTGGGAACATCAGGTAACTGCAAAGCGAAGTATGATTCTCACAACTCATAAAATTATCTGCTATATCTGACTTACATCTCCCATTCCATTTACTCAGCTCTGTCTACCAGTGCTAATATAAAAATAGAAATACTACAGGCAACAGATAATCAGAGTTGGAAGGGACCTTGTAGGTCATCTAGCCCAACCCCCTGCCCAAGCAGGAGACCCTACATCACTTCTGATAGATGGCTGTCCAGTCTCTTCTTGAAAACTTCCAGTGATGAAGCACCCACAGCTTCTGAAGGCAGACTGTTCCACTGGCTGATTGTTTTCACTGTCAGAAAATTTCTCCTCATTTCTAGGTTAAATCACTCTTTGATCAGTTTCCATCCATTGTTCCTTGTCTGACCTACAGATGTTTTGGAAAATAGGTTGACTCCCTCCTCTCTGTGACAGCCCCTCAAATATTGGAAGACTGCTATCATATCTCTCCTGGGCCTTCTCTTCACTAGACTAACCATGTCCAGTTCTTGCAACTGTTCTTCATATGTTTTATCCTCCAGTCCCCTAATCATCTTTGTGCTCTTCTCTGTTGTGGGTTTTTCTTTTCTCTGATGCACCTCTTTGGTATTTGTATTAATCATACCACCTCTTGTAACTATAATTCAAATTTGTCATCTGTAAATCTTGCACAAAGTTGGCTTTTGGCCAGAGGCTGTTTTTCCCCCAGAAAAACTGCATGCAGCACTAGGTCATTCCCAAGAATAATGCTACTGTGTGTACTTGTTCCTGAAATTAATCTGCTTATGAATATGAATAGTCATATCCTATTTACTGTTGTTTTGTAGTTCTTAGGCTTCCTACTGGGGTTGTTTTGGTGCATCTGCTTTTACTCTAAAATAGGTCTTAATTTCATTTGTTATGCCTTTTGGTTTCTTACTGAGTACTGACTTGTCCAGGACATTTGTGGAATTTTTAGATGCTCCCTAACTGATTCAGGGTGTTCTTGAGGGATGGGGTAAAACCTGCTGGTTGTTTTTCTTTGTCATCCATGTTGGCAACAACTTTATATAAAAAAGCATATTGAAGTAGAAAAGTGGCCTCAGGTTTTTTAGTATTAGAAATATTTAGCTCCAAACTAAAATTCCATAGTTGTGTGTTATGATATCTGCTGTTACTTCTCATTCAGCCAATGCATTTCTTTTTTTAAAAAAAAAAAGTCAACTGCTTATTTATAAGTAAATACTTACAAGGAAACAGAGCCTGACTTACTTAAATATAAAATTTACTAACAAGGCAAACTAAATTCTTTGTGAAGAAAGGAATTCAGTCTTCATTGGCCTTTTAGTAAATGACTGCATAATAAATAATTGAGCAATAACCATGATCAGTTGTGATTGCCTCTTGAGAAATTATGTTGTGACTAAACAGAAATTATAAAGAAAAAAATCCTATTGGAATACTGGAAAGTAATGAAGATTTGAAAGAGTAACAAGATAAAAAAGATGTCTGAGCAATTACAGAGAGCTTCTGGAATTAAGACAATAATTTAATGCGGGCATTCCTTCATATGTGACTATTCATTAAGCGTCTGAAGTTACAGTGGAGCTGACTAAATAGTGGTTATGACCAGCCTTGGAGTTCCAATTATCCCACAGCCTTTGCAGTCATGTGATTGCAATCTGGATACCTGACAGCCAGTCGCAGTGCCCCATGATTATGTGATTGCCATTTGCAATTTTCCCTCCCTACTTCCCTAAAAAGTTAGTGGAAAAGCTGGCAGGGAAGATAGCAAATCACACAGGTAAGTTTCTCCCAACTGCACACCTCCCCCCCCCCCCCCGGTTATCTTGTATTGGCCAGTTGTGCACCCCCTCCCTGACCCTCACCACACCTCTCTTCTACCATCACTTATCTTCTCCAACCCATGCCCTGTCTCTTAGGCATCTATCTCCTACCCCTGCATCCCTTTCTCTCACTCAGGAACAGCCACTTATCTGCCTGCTGGCCTGGAAGTTGCCTTGCCTAGTGCCATGGGATTTGGTTAGGACCATGATGGTGAACCTATGGCACACGTGCCGGAAGTAGCATGCAGAGCCACTTCTGCCGGCACGCGAGAGATTGCAAAGAAGAGCCCCACTGCACATGCGTAGGAGACATGCATGCATGTGCAGAGGCATGCGGCGTGCAGGGGGGTTACGCACGCATGCGCAGGGGGGGTGAGGGGAGACACGTGTGCAGGCACGCGAGCGCACTTTTGGCATGCAACATGGAAAAGGATAGCCATCACTGGGTTAGGACAACGATCGTGAATGCAAGGAATTGCCATCATTAAATGATACAGTCATACAATGAACATTCTGGTCCCAAGTTTGACACAAGCTGAGGCGACCTGTACAATGCAGGCATATAGAATGCTGCAGTTCCTGACTACAGCCATAAAACTTAACATTACTCAGAAATGTTTCAAAACCCTGAGGGGGGCTGGCAGGCAGCGGGTTAAGAAAAAAATAAAATGAAATGATGGACTTGACAGCATAATTGAACATATTTGTCATGTGGCACAAGTAAAAAAGAATGGTGCCTCAATTGATTGCACTGTCACAGTCGTCGTTTGAACATTTCTTTTTCTGTTTTTCAAGTTTTATTAGATTTTTATTTTTAAATAAACATCAGTATCACTATATGAACAGTGTGGCCCCTGGGTATAATTCATTTTGATACAAATGTCAACAATGATATTCATAATGGTTGTTATATTAATCAAACATATAATCCTAGTATTAATATACATGGTTTTTTCAATCTTATGTTCCATTTTAATGCCAATGATGTTATAAGCATACATGATATTTTCATCTTTCAACCTCCAACCTTTTCCATCAAATTACTACTTATGTTCTATTGTATAAAGAGTATATCTGCTAGTATTCCCCTTATTTCTTATTTCTAGCTCTATTCTAACTTCTAGTCAGGTCACCCTTGCTCATCCTAATATTAGTACACATGTTTATTTAAAGCATAGCTCTTCATTATTTGATTCTTCAAAGTCACAGTATGCCATTCAAGTACCAGTCTTCCTATTATTTAAACATACCTTATAATACCTTCTTTCAGCTCCAATCTTTCCATCTAACTATTGCTTCATATAAGGGTGTGTATTCTGATTTCTATCTCTATTCAAATTTCTAATCAGTCCATCATTATATTAGAAAAAAAGTATGTGTGTGTCTGTCTGTCTGTCTGTCTCTATCCATCATCGCTCATCTGTTTTAATACCTCAATTCTTAATCGTTTTTTGGCTTGCCTCCCATACCACTCTCTTGGATCTTTATCTGTATCTTCACCATGAAGACTGAATATTTCTCCCATCTTTATCCTTCTAAGCTGCCAGGTTTCCAGAGTATCCACCAGACCCCTATCTCCCTTCCAAGAATATCTTCCAGGTTATCTGATTCCCTTTTTAAGTCTCTTAAAGTGCTTTTCCCTTGGTTTATTTCATCAGCCATTATTGTCTATCATCTTCTCTTTCCCATCTTCCTGCTTTATTTGCTGGTTTGTCTGTTCAGCCTTTTTTTCCATTCTTTCTGTTATCTCCTCCCTTTCCTGTATTATCTGATTATCATCAGTTGTAACATACTTTCCATTTTTCCATGTATGCCTTGCATTAGGTACTTTATCTCTCTGTGATTCTTTTCCATAGAACCCCTAATGCTTTGGAACATCAATGCAATTTCTCTTGAACTCTCACTCCTTTCCCCCTGATGGAGCATCTTGTCTTAACTTAATAAGTCCCGCTCTTACTCAAGTCCAAAACCAATATATTCCAGTCCAATGTTTGTCCCCAGAAAGTTCAATAATCATAGTTCTTTACATCTCAGGATTATTAATCAATTCCATTTTAATAGTCCAGAAAGCTTCCGCAAATCAAAAATCACTTTGCTTTACTTAAAAGTCTTCCATAATAATCTCCAGTGATCATAAAGTAACTTGTTATAGAACAGTCAATGTCACCACAATCCTCCAGATGATTGTTGTTCATTTTTCTCATCAATGTTGAACACTGAACATTTCTGACACCCCTCCCTCTGCTCATGCCAATGTTCTAAACCCTGACTAGAAGCACGTGATTTTCTTTATAAAGTTTTTATTTAGCAGCCTGAATACAGGATTCTTCAAAATACTGTTGAAATCACTGTTTCATGTGTAACTATTTATTTGATGTTTAAGGAAATTGTCATTGATATAGCCTCTGGAACAATATTAATGACAATTACCTTTTTTTCCCCTCTCAGGCGGTGTTTTGAATTTTTAGATTTACTTTTGCAGGAATGGCAGACACACTCCCTGGAAAGGTAAGATACGAACATTATGATATGTGACATGCTGCTCCTCTGGCTGCATGGCGGGGGGTGGGGGGCGCAGGGGAGGGGAGATTCTGTTGAATAGAATTGAGGAGATCTGGAATATGAGTTTAATGTGGCTCCTTTTTCTCCTGCCCTTGCAAAGGCAGACAGACATTCCCTCTGACTCCAACAGAGGAATAAATAGAGACAGGTCTGGCTTTATTTGGGGGGAGGGAGGAGAGAAAAGCAGTTTCTTTTGCCTGTCTAATGTCTGAACTGTTTCCATCCCAACTGCTCCACATAAGAACTGTTATGTGACGTGCACAATTAGCGCTTCCATTTTGATTGCTTTGTTTCGCCCTTCTTTCACCCTTCATTTGGGCCACATCTGAGCTTTTGCAGACTGTGGGCAGGCTCTCTTTTGTCTTCATGGATTTTAGTAAGCTGCTCTTGAAGACTTCTCAGGACGAAGTATGGGGTAAAATGTTTAAATAAATGCATGTGCGGAAGAAATGAGCAGAGGAGATGGAAACTCCTAATTTTTAACCTTTTTTAAAATGTGTCTGTTTAAAACAAAAAAGGGGTAAAATTTTAAATAAATCTTTTTATTTGTATAGGTATCTGCTTAAAGAAAAACTCTTGAGAGATATTACTCTGGCCACTGGAAAAAAATAGTGATTGTCTTTGTGTAGGCAAAAGGCAAAGACATTCAGGGTGTAAGGAAGTAGTTACAGAAAGTGCCCTCAAATGAGAATATGTGAATATTTTTGTTGACCCACATAAGCTTAGCAAGTTGGTGTTGCAGAAACCCTTCTGTATAGATCAAACATTTGGTTTATAGCCACTCGATTATGTTCTTGTATGGCTTCAGCATCTTAATGTGCTTTAGTGTCTCCATGCTTCTATGGTTTCCACATACAAAGGAATGACCTCCAAGGAATGCTTCTTGGTATTTCTTATAAAAGAGAATGAAATGCAATAAAGCTCACTGGGATAAACAAACACCCACACCTTTAAAAGGATACGGTGTATCCAGTTCTTTTAAATTCTGGGCAAGTGGATAAACTTCCTTTGAATCCCAAATGTAATTCTGAACGACTTTTTCTTCTCTCCTTTCTCTGACAAAGTAAACAGCAATGTGTTCTAATTTCAGGCATGTATCAGTATTGGCTGAAACCATCAAGAAAGGAGTCCATGATGCTGACTCCGAAGCACGAATAAAAGCCAGAAAGTAAGTGGGCATCTTTTGGCTTTAATTGTTCAGTCCATCAATAGTCACAGGCTTTATAATGCTGTTCAGCTGAAAATTTATCCAGTAACTGATATTCCAAGGAAAGAACAGGACCAGACCATTAAGAACTCAGGAAATGGACCATGCTATGCTTAATAAGTATTCTAAGCATTTTACTGAGGTACTTGAAAGTAAATGTCATCAGAACTTCTTTCATTGGAATTTTTTTTCTGCATAAGCCAAATAAAACTAGTAATTGTTTTGGTTCTGTTTAATATTGTTTGTTCAGAAAATTAATGTGGGAATTTGGAAAGAAAAATCTTGATGTCAACATTTTTTGTGTGTAATATCCCTGAAGGTTCACGCTTTTACATTCTACAGGGTTGCTGATATTCTCTTCGTACTTTAGAATTTAGAACTTGGTTTAATTTAATATAGAAGAGAAGTCCATCTATTTCTGTGTTCAAAATAACTAATGGCAAAGTAGCTTATTTAAGCTTGTAATGTGTTCACTTCTTTCTTTCTTTCTTTCTTTATTTATTTTTGGTAATATTGCACTGGTCTCTACATCTCTTTTCCAGTTTCTGTAGTTACTTTCCTACCAAAATGTTAAACTCTTTTAAATAAGGTTGGGAAGCATAAATAATATATGTGAAAATAAATAGGCTTGTCACAATTATACAATTGATTTTCTCTGCTAAGTTTTCCAGTTGTTTTTTTTCTTAAAATCTGTTGAGGCTCTCTGGATGGTTAGAATCTGATATGCTAGTATACTGTTCAATGATCAGTTTAAACTTTTATTTTCAGGTGTTACTGGAGCTTCCACAGCCATTTTAGCCGAGAAGCAGAACATTTGTTTAATTCACTGGAATCCTCATACCAGAAAGCCCTGCAGTCTCACTTGAAGAATTCTGATAGCATAGTGTCTTTGCCTCAGTCAGATCGTTCCTCTTCTAGTTCCCAGGAGAGTCTCAAGTAAGCCCTTCCTTTAATGTATTGCTATTGGATGAACTTTATACCTTCAAGTTAAATCTTCCTCATCTATAAATTAGAGCCTTTGCATTTTGGGGGTGGTTATTTTTGTGAATATAAAATTAAGTATTTACTCTTACATGGAGTCTAAAACTGATTTTGCTTCCTTATTTATTTTTGTTTTTGTACAGCATTTTTGTAGGAGAATTCAAAATGCATTAATGTAAAAAATACATAGATACAAATAACACAGAATAATTCATCAATGTTATAAAGAATGAGTTAATAGTTAATATAAAATTCATTATGGAATGAGATCCATTAATTCTATTCCTTTTTAGCCGTCCATTGTCTACCAAAAGAAGCCCAACCGGAAGCACTACTTCACGAGGTAAGAGACCAGGAGAAGAAAATGGTCAGATATGAGGCAAAATAAGCTCTCTCTTTCTTGCAAAATAAGTAATTTTTACTCATACTGCTATATTAGTTTTGCCCATTACTTTTATAAATTAAATACTGGGGGGCCTAAGACAGAATGATTCTAAATATAAGATGGTTGAATACTTCAAATATCAACCACTGGAATGAAATGTTGAAATATGAATTGCTTTATTCTTAAGCAGACTTTGTTCTTGTGTGTAATGATGGATGTTGGCGACAGAATACTGAAAGAAAATTCTAAGCTCAGATATGGAAGATGTATATGAATTCTCAGAATATTCTTAATATACATGCGGCAAATGCTATTTTAAGATATAATGCCACTTTTGATTAGAAAAGTCGTGTCCAGCACGGTTGTATTAATCCCTGCATAATGCTTGCTGGATTGTACAATCATAAACAGCAGAGTGGAATCTGATAGCAACTAATAGAGATTTTTAAAAATCCCAATACTTGCTGAGCATAGTGCTATCAAGCAAAATATTCGACATTAAGTAGGTCAGTGTCTTGCCCTGAAATAAATTAATAATGTGCTGTGGAGAAAAAACTGTGCTATACAAAAGTATAAAATGTCTGTTTGGGTTCTATTATCGTATGTCAAATAAAATACATTTTTATAGTGGTAAATTGACGTTTTATGATGGTGCTTTGAGTTTCCAAGTTGTTGGAATATGTTGGATTTTGGAATAGATTTATCTGTAACTGTGGTTTTTCTCCTTCCTTAAAGCTTCTGCAGGCAGTGTGAAATCTGCGTCAACATCGGGGTCTCTCCAGCGTTCTCGCAGTGACATTGATGTGAATGCAGCAGCCAGTGCCAAATCCAAAGTAACATCTTCTGGTTCGGATTCCCCCTTCAGTTCTGCTGCAGCCCTGCCTCCAGGCTCATATGCATCTCTTGGTACGTTTACTTTGTTTTTTTTACAAAGATGATACTCAGATAATCAGGAGTAGAAGGAATTTTTTTAAGAAATTTAGTTTTACAGTGGATTGAAATGCAATTCTGGTCTAAGCCCATGTATTGCACTGCATTCATAAATCAGGGTTTACATGCCTCAGTGGTTGGGGTCACACAGTACAATAATCTAAAATGAAAGTTTTGTTCTACATGTGACATCAGATGGCGTATAGTATGTGGAATAAATGCAGTAAGCATTGTTTAATAACTTTTTAGGTAATTAAACTACTTAGTTTTGTAAAGTAACTGATCAATTTTGAGGGAAAAGGTATTTTTGGTGGTATTTATTAGAATTCCCTAGCAAGACTTCAGAATTCTTTAATAATTCAAGAACATCACTAATCTGAAGTAAAATTTTGTTAAAAAACTGCTGTCAGCATAAAATGGGAAGAATCCTATCTTGTCATTTCCAGAAAAAAGTTCATTTGAACTCACTGTCTTAATACGAGAATAAAATATGCATTACAAAAAGCAAATAGATTCAATCAAATATATCTCAACATATCTGTATTGCTTATTGTTTATGGCACCTCATTGATAACAATTTCTATTAGTGTCTGACATTAACAAAGTCTTAATTTAGTAAAAGAAAATAAATACTTTTCTAAGAAAATGTTCTTACAGCTTGGTGATTATATCAATGGCAACACGATGTTTGAACTAATGATCTGTGATCTATGAGAGATCATTGCAGTATGTAGCAGTGGGCCTCTTCCACCACTGGCATTTTCTAACTATGAGTTGTATCAGCACGAAAGCGGAGGTGCCATACAAAGCTATTTTCAGCGCAAATAGATCATTCTCCTGAGACTCCCAGGTGATATTTTGCCTCTATGGGTGGTGCCTTCTTGTGGAGAAAAAAGACAAGAGTCTAATCTTCCATAACATCTCTTAATGGGAAAAATTATCCTGCCTCCGAGACTGATCTTCCCCAGGGCCTGATTTTCCAACAAAAGTGGGTCATCTTTGGCAAGTGAACTAATAGTTTAAGAGTTTCCTGAGACCCTGAATGTTCTGCAGCAGAAAATGGAGCAAGTTCATACCCCTGGTCAAAAAGTGCAAAAGAAAGGAGAGAAGAGGTTCTGATTCCAATAAGAGTAAGAAAGGAATTTACAAACCTAGGAATTGTTCCTGAGGTCCTTCCAAATTAATCCTCTTTCCAATTCTCACAGATTCCTGAACTTCCCCTCCACTGAGAATTTCTCTTAGAAAAAAGGCCAGAAAAATAAATGCCACTAGTGCCACTTTTTAAAGGGGGAAACTGTTTTCATAATGGTTTAAAATCTCTTCTAAATCCTAAAATTTTGGAGGTAGGGAAGCTTATAATAAAAACATCTCTTTAAGAAAACTGTTGATATTTCTTAGTAGAAAAGAAAAATAAAAGGATTTCCTAATTCAGGAAAGAATAAATTTAAAAGTATAGATGTTATTCTTTTGCCCTATCTGCTTAGATGGTCTCAAGGAGTAACCAGATCTAGATAGTCTAAAAATTCAGAGCCTCGGGTAAATCCATTCTCTATTTAGTGGTCTCTCACCACCACCCCCACCCAAAAATCCAGAGGTCAGAAGAAAACATCAGCTACAGACTACTAGAATTCATTTTAGCATCACTATTTAACAGTGTAACTATGTAACTAACAGTGTAACTAACAGTGTAACTATGTAACATTTTAGCATCACTATTTAACAGTGTCAAAGTACCAGGATTTTCTTAAGACTACCAGCATCTTCTGTAAATCATTGCAACAGAACAAGTGTGAAATGTCACAGATCTGGAATTTATTTTCCAAAGTAAATGGAGGCATAAAGGTGACACTAGATCCGAGGTTGCTCACACAGTACCTAGGGCAGAGATGCTTCAAAAGAGAAATACTAATATCAGTTTTGTTGACAATTAATATACACTATTTGGTAGTCTCTGCAGATTTAGAAGAAGCTTACTTTCATCACCTGATTAGAAAAGAAACTGAAGTTTGCTGTGATAACATCCCTCTTAGTATTAGATCTTTCTTTTCTAGTTAATTCAAGCACCACATGAGATTAGTAACACCAGTGCTTCATCTGCAGATTTTGTTTCTCTACTTAGCCAGCATTTTGATTTCAGCGTTACCTGAACCACCTTCTACAGGACCCAATTGTCAATCCTTGGAGTTATTATGAGCCATGGTGGCACAGTGGTTAGAATACAGTTCTGCAGCCTATTTCTGCTGACTGCCAGCTGTCTGTAGTTTGGCAGTTTGATTCTCACCGGCTCAAGGTTGCCTTCCATCTTTCCAAGATTGGTAAAATGAGGACCCAGATTGTTGGGGGCAATATGCTGATTCTATAAACTGTTTAGAAGGGGCTGTTAAAGTCTAAGTGCTATTGCTATTCCCAATTGTCTACCTGAAACTGAATAGATATGGTTACGGACGTATGCAGATAAAATCCACAAAAATTTACTTTCCTAAGGGTTAGGGTTATATTTTGAAATTACTTACACTATCTTGTGATAACCAGGATACTTTCTAAATATTTATATAGATCCTTGATATCACAGAAAATGGATGGTAGTCCTCTAAAACTTGAAATTGTGACTGGCAGAAGCATCCATGAGGAAATGGGGGGACAAGTAACAAAAACATTCTCATGTTGCAAGTGCTGTTTTTGTTCACTTGCACTGTCATCTTGCATGCACACATGAAAAGGGCAGAGCTTATAACATGAAGCTGCTTTTGTCATTTTGATGAAAACCTTCTGTCCTGTAGATCTCTCTAATGACTAGTTTTGTTTCACAGTGTTTAGGTATGTAAGATGTCTGGGTGATATTTTATTCTGATATCACAATAGCACTGGAAGCTTCGACACCTGCATTTTCTTAAGCACTCCCTCCAGTATTTCCATAAATTTGTATTCCTTATAATAAAATACATGGAGAAAAATGACAAACAAACAAAAAGCACAACTAATTTATGAATCTTTTGTTTCTTGTTCAGACCTACTCACACTTGAGCATTAAATACTCTATGCAGCAGCATTAATACTGTATGTTAACTGCTTATATTAATAGTGCATTATGTGGTCATTTTTAGTCAACTGGACCTGCTATTAACAATCTGTAATGAAGAGATATCTGCTAAATTAGTAGAAGAATGAATACTTTATAGTTTACAGGGTCTGCTAAGTAGCATATAATTCCAGAAGAAATGCATCAGAATGTTTCTTGTGTGAAAACAAGAAAATGGGAGAAGGAAATCTTTTTGTGGTTCTGCACTATTAACTAATTTATTTTACTTTGTTTGACTGATGTGACTTGCCCCTCATTTGTGATACTAAAGACACCCTGCCCACTTTTGCTGATATTACTAACTATTCCCTCTTATCACTCTCCTTATTCTTTTAATTTGCTTAAAGATGGTACTACCAGTAAAGCTGAGGGTAAGCTGACTGTATAACAGGTCTGTCTCCAACTTTGCCAGGTCTCTGTTATCACCCGAGTGCTCCCTGGTTTTCATCCGTGTCTGCTGGTACCTCTTGCATGACTCTTGCATGGTGTTTTGACTCTTTCCTCATGTTGGAACTATTGTATGCCCTTTATCGTCTTCTTCTCCTAACTCCTAGGCACAACTTAATTTAATTTATTCAATTTAGGCAACATCTGACTCCAGACTCTCTGGGCGCTCACAAACAGTAAAAAACAAACAGTAAAAATACAGTGTGTGTGAATAATAACAAAAAATTAAGAATAAGAATGATAAAGAGCAAGAAAACAAGATAATCAAATTACATAACATGTCCCCTGTCCCCAATAGGTTTATTAGACATACTTGAACAGTATGTAATTTTTAAATCATTTCTGAATGTCATTCATTATACTGTTAAATACAAAACAAAAAAATTTACATCTCACATATATTTTTACTCAGATTTAAATATATAAACCAGATATTGTAACAATGAATATCTGGGGTAGAGAAATGAATATATTGGACTTTTTTATTTCTATAAGAAAAGTACTCAGTGCAGAATGTTAAATTTATTGGCCAGAGACATTTTTCAGTTCTCTTATTGGTTGTGCAGAAATAGTAACTTTTGTCATAAATAGATGACTTTGTTTTCATTATGGTTCTTGGCTGTTGCTGCACTAAAGTTGGGTTTTTCAAACTGAGATGTTGTTCAGACTGAATTATTTTTGTTTAGAATTTGGAAATGGAGTATTCAGATTTATTCCTGCACATATTCATTCTCTTCCTTCTCTGACCAATTTCATCAGTACTGTACTGTAGAGGTCCCGAACCTCCAGTCCATGGCCCAGTACAAAGGCTGCAGCCCATTGAGAGACATGGAAGTGGTGGGTGAGTGCACCCACACGCACGGAAAGCTGCTTTTGTGAAAGCTGTGTGCGCGTGCAACCATCCCCTCTCCCCCCGGTCACTACTGCCATCTCTGCCAATCCGCCATAAGTATGGGGACCACTGCTGTACTGTATTTATATCATGCCTATTTACAGACATATACATTCATTACATTACTTCTTTTTGGGGTAAGCAACTTTATGTTAAATGCAGAAGCAAAGTAAGAGACAGTAAGCTAAGGAAATTAAAGCATGAAGTAAGGAAAATAAATATCTCGTTTACATAAACATTACACTTCATCTTTATTATCCATCCTTGCAAACCACAGTTGTTCCATCATGTCCCTACACTAGTTTATATATCACATTTTCCTTTTTGAAGTTCTTTCCTCTCTCTTCTTATCAACCTTCTCACTCATTTATTTGTTTGGAAATTTAATCTTTATTTGCCTTCATCTCAATGTATTTTTCTGTATACTAATCACTCATTTCTAATATATTCAGTCAATATCCACTTGGCACCTGTTTATTCTTGATTACAGTAATGCTTGTGTGCCTTTTGGAGTTTTCAATATTTCTATATAAAGATTACCTGAAACATGATCTATTC